ATTAATTATCATTAACACCTATTTTATTTTGATCAACTTATGCATACAGGCAGTGCATAAACAATTAACAAATGGGCTAAAACACACTGTAATGTAGTTGTATGCAGCTATAATAAGTGTTTGTTAATGTGCAGCATTTGCCAACCATTATAACTTTTTATCTGTTTATACAGTAGCCTTTTAGTATGGGTGTCCACACGAGTTACAGTTGTCTACAAATACATTAGTAAACACTTATATCTGCTTACGACTACCATTAAAGTGTGTTATAAACCATTTATTATGTGTTTATATACAAATTTTACAATGTTAAATAGGTTTTTTGAAGTACTTTAAGTTAACAGTGATGAAAAGATGAATGATGAACCTCTGCTCATTTCCAAACATCCTCTAACCTGCTGTTAATTTACTAGAACAAACAAAATATCAATGCAACAGGTTAAATTAATAGAAGAAATGTTCAACCTGCAGAGAAGCTTTAATTCTTGTATTATTTAACCACACAAGAACAAACCAGTGCACATTACTGCCTCTGTCTGAATGCTGTTGTGAGCTGCCACAGATAAATAAGTTATAAGATGGTTGGTTATGTATTAAAAAAACACCAGGCTGCAGCTGTGGCTGAGCCGGCCTCTGTTCAGGTCCTAGTTAACAGTTTGCAGGGCCTCACGCTGCACTTTGACCCCGTGCACCTTGGCAAGCAGTGAAAGGGATTTCAGATGAATCAGGCCTTTGGCTGGTGAGTCTGTGCGCTGCTCGGTCCTTCACGTTCTGTGTTTCAGGAATGTGTGTGTGTGTGTGTGTGTTGTTTTTTAAGGACTTTGTTTGGTAAGGCTTTCTTCCTTCTCACTTCCTCTAAGTGTCTGAGTGTAAAACGACCAGAGGAGGAGAGGTCTTCATTCCACCTGCCATATAAGTGTCAAATAAGTGGAGGCCGATACAGCCGATGAAATACTGTGTGCAACACAGCTGCAGCACCTTTTGGGAAGCAGCTAGCTATTGTTTTCACTTTCAATGAATCGACCACTTTCAGTTTATAAAAGGTCACAAATTAGTGAAAAATGTTCAGCTCCGTCTCCCAGAGCTCAAAGCGACGTCTTCAAATGTCTTGTTTTACCCAAAGATGTTCAATTTACAATGACGCAAAACAGAAATGAGCAGCAATTGTTTGTTACTTACATCTTGACTGATATAAGCAATGAGCAGCAACACACACAGCAGAACACAGCACACGTATGATCACTATAACCAAGCGTGAAAACACAGGTAGCTGAGGCTCCATCACAGGAGCCGCTTTGCAAACGGGGATAAATAAATACCTCACAAATCAAAGCACTAGTTCACAGTGACGCCAAACTAAGATAAGATGTCCCATTTTTTGATCCCCCCCATAGAGGGGGGGATCAGTCAGGATCAAATTCAAATTTGACATAGCAGCGCAAAAGGGAAAATGTATGTGCAATATAAAAATAAAAAATTAAGTGGTTGTGCAGTTTGTCCAGTTTCTATTGTAATATACTGATTTGAGTCTTAGACTACTTGTAGACAAATGTCTGTCATATCCAAATAAAAAGAAGATGCTTTTTTTTTTGTTGTTGAAGGTAAAAAGTGTCACAATGGACCATAAATAAAGCGTTGTGGTGCTACACAGACAAATCATATTCTCCAGATGTAAAAAAGGAACATGTTTGTTTGGTACAGGCCACAAGAAAAATCACATCATCATCATTTTTATATATTTTCAGACAAATTGAAATGCAAAAATGACCATTCCTGCTGAAATCATGACTCATATCGCAATCGAAATATCAGCCAAAATAACTGCAATATGACTTTTTTTGTCTTTTTATATTTTAATTTGAATTTTTAATTTAATTTTATCATTCAACCACCAATGCAGCCAGTGCAAAGATGCTTCAGGCAGCTAGCACATAGTAGCAGGACAAGACGAATAAATCTAACTGAGAATTTAAACTCTGATATCATGACACGTCCTTACCTCATTTAGAAAATTTGCAAATATTTTTCCTACGAGGTCTTTGTTTCTTGTTTCATTAGACAAACACAAAAACCTGCAGAATAATGTGGGTGTTTTTTTTGTTTTGTTTTTTATATTAAAGCACAGAAGAAAAGAGCCAAACCTCAAAACAAATAAATTAAGAGCTAAATCGATGTCGTCAACAGTGAAGTAAAGAAAGACAAACACAATAACATCTTATAGGACTTGATATGGTTATTAGTATTTTATGTCAGACATTTAAAAGTGGGGTTAACGGCCCTGAGAACCTCTCACAGCTGAGGACAGAGGAATACTGTTTGAGGATAACTGTTGTGACTCATTCACATCTATTTGCTTGCAATGTTGGTGAATGAGGAACTGCAGCTTGTTGTTTATAGTTGATTCACTGCCCCTCTGGATAACAGCGTCAGTTACACGCACTACGTTAAAACATGTGAAACACAAAGTGACCCTAATGCAACAAGAAGAGAATCTCACAATCCCACCCTCTCATAGAAAAGACAAAAACAAGCCGTAAGCCTCCTGAATTCCAGACATAAGCCATTAAAGGGATTTGGTGTCAAAGTCCGAGGGGTCTTAAGTAACTGGTAAAGATGAAAACCGAGTGTGCCCCCCCACCCACCCACCGCGGCCTCCACACTGTGTTTTGGTACAAGTGGTGCTGCATGCTTGGCACTCTAAGCCTATTACACTGATGGATTTCTATGAGAGAGAGAGAAGGAAAAAAAAGGTAACTCACACCTCCACACCTGATTTCTCATTACAGGGATGTAAATGAGCAAGAATAAAAACAGCAAAGAAGAAAATAACTCTTGGTTTCCACCTGAGCTGTGGTTCTTAAGACTGGTCAGTTTTTCTGGTTTGAGACCGACATGTTGCATCTGCAGCAAATTCCTCTATCGTGTTTCCGCTTTCTCGGAAAAATAAACGATTTTAAAATCTGTATTTGAGTCTAATTTTGTAACAAATGTGTCAGGTAAAATAAGCTGCTGTTAACCTGGCGAGAAATAAACTGTTTACCCACAACATTTAATGACTACATCAAGACATACATGTCTGGTGGGACTTTAAATCATTCACTTGGTGTAAAAACTAATGCAATCACAGTCTTAATAACTGATCTACTGTCTTTTACCAGCTTCCAATCAATTACCTAAATAGGTTTAATTAAGTATTTAAAGGATGACCAGGATTTTGTCTAAGCTCCTCAACCAGTGTGTTCTTAAAGTGATAGTTCAGGTTATTTGATCTGGGGTTGTGTCAGGTACTTATACATCGTCAGTGTATTACCTGCAGTAGAATCGGATGGAGAACTTTAAGCTGATGAGCCCTGGTGGTAAAAAATATCCTTTAAAAAGTTCTTAAAGTGAAATGTATGTGATATGATTGAAAGCTCCAATAAAGCTACTAAATGAACCTATCATAACAAACTGAATATTTTGGGGGGTTTTTTATGGTTTGTCAGACAAAAACAAACCATTTGAAGAAGTCAATTCAATGGATATTTTCTCTATTTTCAGATATTTTAAGATAATAATCATCAGATGAAAACATAATGTAAATAATCATCAATAACACAACCACACTGAAAGTAACTTTCCATTCCCATTTTTTCTTTGAGCGTGTATTATCATTTCTCCTTTCATCCACCTTCCCACTCACTATCGTTTTCTATTAATTTAAACATGAATAGCTTCTTCCTCTAGCGATTTCAACAGTGGAAGTCATTCTTTCTGTTTATTCTCTATCTCCCCTTTCAAAGCTAATGCAAAAACACTCCACAGAGCACATCACAGAGCGCAATACAAGCGGGAGCATCTTGTTTATCACCGGCTGAGATCCTCTTGATGAAACACTAAAGGAGAACGACTCCCAGCTTCAAGGTCAAATTTCTACTTCAAATAAGAAAACGAATGCAGCTCTGAAGACAGACATGATCAGTGCAGGCGAGTTCAGTGATCCTGTCCTCATTAATATTTCCTCTCAACACCACTCTGCTCTTCATCACTCCAACTTAACCTGAGTCTCCGCTCAATCTTTGTGCAAAAAAAGGAAAAGAAAGTCCCATCTGTTATTTCTGGATGAAAACAGCTACAGGTGGAAAAGAAAAGCATTGAGATCAGAGAGAGTGGTGAGGAGGGAGAGGAGCTGTGAGCCTATCATCATGGGTAGAGCTGCAGCAATTAGCAGATTAATCGATTGGTCAATTGACAGAAAATTAGTCTACAACTATTCTGATGATCTAGTGATCGTTTGAGTCTTTTCTTTAAGGTAAAAATCACAAACATGTCGTGCTTCCATCTTATCAAATGTGAGGATTTGATGCCTTTATTTGTCATACTTGACAGCAAACTCAATATCTTTGAGTTTTAGACTGTTAGCTGGACAACAAAAAAGAAAAGCAATTTATTTGGCAACTTAATTTTGCCAGTCACCACACTGAAACACATCTGCCTAATAACCTGAGTTTAAATTAAAAAAATAAAATAACTACTACTAGAAGAAGAGACATGGACTGTGTTTGTCCCTAACAGCTTGACTCAGGGATGTGAGAGGTCAAAGTGAAGAAGGCACAAATGCAGTAGGATATTTTTCTGCCTCCTTTTGGGAATAAACAGTGTTTGACTCCTTCTTGTTCCCTAACTGGGATGTATATGGACCAGCTGCTGGTCGTAATGGTCCACAGATCCCAGGACTCAGCACAGGTGCAACAGTTCCCCCGAGCAGGAAAAACAGTCTGTTTATCTCTGGCAGGTTAAACTATCTTACTGAGGATAAAAATGTACATATCTGTTTATGGTAAATTATGTGTATGTTACATGAATAGTCTCATTTGCACAGCAACAGTGTGTATATTTCTGCCTATTACAGTGGTAAGCAAAAATTACAATTATATATTATTTTCTTCAATGATGATTGTAATTTGATCTCATCTCCAAGAGGTCAAAGGTCATCCATCAGCACTACAACACACTCCTACCTGTCTCTGGGGTCGATCCAGCTGGTGCACTGGTTGATGTGGTCAATGTAATAGATTTTGCCATCAAAGTCTCTGGCTTCCTCCCAACCCTCAGGTAGTGGCAACTCCTTCCTTGGCATGTCAGGCGAGTCTCCATGTAATTAATTCCTCTCTACTCAAAATCATAACGAAGGGAAACCATCGCTTTTCTCTGTCATCATCATCATCATCATCATCATCATCACAATCACCATCACCATCATCAGCAGCAGCAGCAAAAGTATCAGCAGTTATTCCCAAAATTCCCTGCCTGGCGCGTCTTGGATTAGGGAATAATAATAATAATCCATAATAATCCACCGATTAGCAATGAATCCAACAAAGGAGGGACTGTTAAAAGTGGGTAAAGTAGTTCCAGCAGGCTGCACTTGTGCATCAGTTCATTTCTATGTGAGTGTCAAGTCATCTGCAATATAAACACAACGGTCATAAAACTACACCGTGTTGTTATTTGATGTGTTTTTCCAGTTGTAGGCGCATGTTTTGCAACTTTTTTTTTCCCCCCAAATCCGGAGGGAAACTTCGAGGCGGTCTGGTGACAACTTTTGAAGTAAACTACAATTATCCACGGTCCACAAAACACGAACGGTGCTGCTGCTGCTCCTGCTCCTGCTGCTGCTGCTGCTGCGGGTCTGTTGTCGGTTACAACGTAAACACAGAGAAGCAGCCTCAACGTCCAAGTCCACAAACCTCCGAATAAGAGCCAAATGAGGGCGGTAATGTGTCCACAGCAGCGGGGTTTCACACGGAGAACCGTTAAAATGCCTTGTTTAAAAATCCTCTAAAATCCCCAAACTGGGCTCGTTTCTCCTGCTTGCCTACAGGCCACCATGTTTAGCAGCAGTAACCGATGCTAACCGCCAGCCGCCGCGGGGTAACGACCACTCAGAACACCGCTGAGAGAAGAAAAGTAACGAGCGAATCCGCAGCCGTTAAAATCCGGTAAATCCGCGAGAAACTCGGTCTGTTATCTTCTTAAATGATCCGTTTGCAACCGGACGGGAGGGGAGCAGCGGCGGCAGCGGCGGTAAAGTCTTCCCTCAGTCCCGATGACTTCGGCCGGTCGACGGCTGTCAAGTGACAAACATTCATTGTGGCAGCTTCCGGTTACGATTTCAAAATAAAACTTTTGTTGCCAAATTCAGCCAGCAAAATAAGACTTCCGGTCACAATAATTTGCCTAAACTATGACTGATGTCAACAAAATCAATCAATATGTGTGTTTTGATAAAGGACTAGTGTGCAAAATTTACTTATATTTTTGTGATTTGTGTAGAAGATTTAGATGTTCAGATTCCATACACACACACACACACACACACATACATACATACATACATACATACATACATACATACATATACATACATACATATATATATATATATATATATATATATATATATATACACACATATGTATATATTTTTTTTTATATATTTTTTGTTATTTCATAAAAATATTGGTAATGTAACTGGCCTTCACAGCTCTGTGCAATGGCAAACTTTCAAGCTGACAGCCCCCTCTGGAGGACAACCTGTTGAACTGCTGCATTGATCCTCCTTATGCTGAGCGATGGAGACTGATGTCAAGTGAGTTCTACAGGCTGTTCAGCTCAGGTGCCACAGGTTGGATTTTGATGAAACTTGGAGAGATGGTTCCCAACAGCTCTCTGTCCCTTTAACTTAAATATGACACAGCTTGATCAGAGGGTGACACAGCAATTTCAGGCCAAAGGAAACATCTGTTCCTGCTCCACCTGGACTGGTTTTGATCACAGGAAATACGCTGATTAAAATGTTAAAATTAAAGTAAAAAAAAAAGAAAAAGAAATAATAAGTCATGACATGAATTATGAACTTGAAGGACGCTGAAAAAACAAAGTTTGAAGGTGAAACTCAAAGTTGTTTGCAGCACTTTAATCCTCCACTCAGCTGCTCCTGATTAAACATCTGGGTGTTACTGATTGTCATTGTGGGCCCGGTGCTCTGGTTGTTATCAGACGTGCACTTTGCATGGTTATAACACCGGTTAAGGTTAACGGTGTTAAGTTAATAATGTAACCAGGAGCTTCTTGATCAAGTGATGGTGCCTGTCTGTGGAGGAGTCCGATGCTGAGGAGGTTTCAGTGCTCAGAGATCATGGTTAATGAAAACTGGTGGACTGATTAGTTGACATATTAGTTGGTGTGGTGGGATAGGTTAAATGTGGTATTAGTTTTGAATATATATATAATTATCTGTGTTATATTTATCTATATATCTTTGTTTGTGTTGGCACCATGTTGGAAAACAGTGTTCTCACTGTCAATTATTTAATAACTACCTTTATTGATCAAATAATCTTTATTTGTACAGCACTTTTCAAAGAATAAGTTTACAAAGAGCTTTACAGATATAAAAAACACTGGTGCTATCATGAAGGCAGTGAAATAAAAACCTTCAAATGATAAGAAAACAATAAAAGAACAATACAAATAGAGACTAATTTAAAAGCCTTTTTATATTTTTAGGGTAGGTCATACTTCAGAGGGACTTCAGATTAACTTAAACATTATAATGTTGATTAAACTCCCGGGAAATAAAGTGAAAAGTAGCTCAAACATAAAATGTTCACATATACATTAAGTGTATATACAGCCTGTGGAAATGTAAGGGTGTGTTGTGGCTGTTTGACTGAGACACTAAAACAAGAAGTGAAAGACATAAACTTGATTTGACTCTAGATGGAGCGCTTCGCCTCACAGATGTGGAGAGACACTGAGAGACGCTTCTCTCTCTCTCTCCGCTCTTCAACACTGTTCATCGACAGCTTCATTCATATTCCGTCTGACACTCAAACGCATCCACCTCCCGCGTCTCTGCTCATATCCACAACAACTCAGCTCTGGCCTCTGACGTCTGAGCTCTCACCGGCACACCGGCGATGGGCGGGGTGTTTCTGATGCCTTCAAGTGCTGTCGGAAAAAAGATATTTTCCTCTAAATAACTTATGATGAATGTGATTTTATAGATTAGTGGTCTGTTACTTGTTATTATAAAACACTTAATGAGTGTGATATCTTATTTCTGGATTCCGTGTTTATTAAAATCATTGTACATAGAATATGCCTGCTGTCACTGAATTTCTACAACAAAAGCTTTAAGATGTCACTTCATCAGCAACTTCAATTCTCCACGAAACTACAGGGAATTTCTTGAGGTTATTTTTTTCAATTTTTCAAATCCAGAACAACTTGAAATCATCAAAGGTCAGATTTCTGAACTTGAAGCTCAGCAAACAGTTTGAGTTGTATCTGTGTTGACACAATGACAGTGTCAGGAGCCACTGTTCACAGCTTATCAGTCGGAGAGCAGCTGGTGAACATAGCGGAGCATTTAGCAGCTAAACAGCCAGATATTTCCCTCAGGAGCCGGTGGAGACTAAACACAGAGCTAAAGGAGAGGGAACGCTGGATCCAGATTCATCAGGTGGACACAAACAAAACTCCACATGAATCATGACGCTGCTCTGTAACTCCTGGATGTGGAAATAAGTGATGTTTTGTTCAGCATATCAACCTTAAAAACTGATGCTATGTCAATGCTGCGCTCAGAGCCGCTGCCCCCAAGTGGAAAACATCAGTTACTGCAGGTTGAAAGTTATGAAGCATGAATTGTGGTCATGGTTAGAAGAAATCTCGTCTTGTTCTTGTCTTAATTACTACAGCAGCTCGAGGTTTGAATGGAGACATTTGTCATTTTAAGACACCTTGATTAAACAACTGATTGTCTCTAGTAAAGGCTACACAGCTCATAGAGAGTGGGTTGGAATGGGGTGTTGGAGGGTCCCACAGGTCATTTTTACCCTGGGCTCTCTTACTGGATAAATCCGGGCCTGTTATTCGGTGCACATTTACACTTAAAGTTGAGCAAAATAAGCAGATTTGAGACTTGATTTTAAAAATAAAAGGCAAGGCAAGTTTATTTATATAGCACCATTCAGACACGAGGCAATTCAAAGTGCTTTACAGAGGCATGAAAAAACATTAAATACAGCATTAAGATGATTAAAATAGCATTTGAAAACAATAAAACAAATTTGAATGAATAAAAAAATAAAAATATTTAAATATCTAAGATCAGTTAGAAAACCATAGATTGATAGGACCAAATCCAAACTGTATGCTTCCATTATTTATTATTCTGTTAACCTCTGATTAATTATTTAGTCAATAAAATGTCTAAATATGGTTAAAAACGCCCAATAAAATTTCCCACAGCCAAAAATGATCTATTATAACTTTTATTATTTTACCTGCAGTCCAAATCCTAAAGACATCCAGTTTACTATCAAATATGTCAAAGAAAAGTGTAAAATCCTCACATTCAAGAAGCCGGAAGCAGCAAAAGTTGACATTTTGTTGCTTAAAATATGACTAAAATGATTAATCGATTATCTAAATGGTCGTCGATTTATTTTCTGTAATCGTTGCACCTGAAAAGTGCTGGAATCCGCATTTCCACATGAGATTCCAGAGTTTACGAGCAGCACTTGAACGCAGCATCTTTTTTTTCTTCTTCTTCTTTTTTTTTTTTACCCCTCTTGCGCGTCTCGAAACAAAAACAAGCAGAGAGAGCTCGGTCACATGTGGAGCGGCAGGGGAGCAGCAAGAAGAAGAAGGAAGCGGCAGTCACTCCTCAACACTGTCGGTATCCAGGAGAGCGGTGACCCCCCCCCCCTCTCCACACACCTCCACCTCCACCTCCGCCCTCAGGTTCAGCTCTCTCTCTCTCTCTCTCTCTCTCTCTCTCTCTCTCTCTCCGGCTCCAGTCGCCGATCGGTGCGCTCCACATATGGTTCTCCTCCGGCACATCTCCATCGCCCTGACCGCCGCCGTGGCTGCCCTGGGCTCCGCTCTCTTCATCGCCTTGAACTACTTCTACAGGAGGCGAATATGGTCACCACAGGCGGAATACTGCACGATCAAGGAGGTGGGACAGCATGTTTCTAATTGACCCCCCTCCCCTCCATCCATTTTTTTTTATTGTATTTTATTTTATTCCATTAATACACAGGTGTTTCACTTAGACCGGAAGGAGGTTAAGAGGCTGTCATTACATCTGAGTGAGGGAAAAGCTGCTGAGTTATGATGAATATAACTGAGGTGATGGTGATGAAGGTGGTGAAGATGTCATGATGGAGGTGATGGTGGTGGTGATGAAGATGATTTTGATGATGCTGGAGCTGATCATATTTCAAAATAAGAGGATGTGAATGGAGAGAATGATGATGATGAGGAGGAGGAGGAGGAAGATGGTGCTGCTGCTGATGAATAACTGATGTGTGAAGGATGTGATGATAGTGATGATGATGATGATGATGATGATGATGATGGTGAAACCGCTCAAAAAGAGGAAGATGTGCCACTAAATATAAAGATCATGAAGAGGTTGATGGTAATGACTATGAGGAGGATGATGATGGTATGGACGGCACTGATGATGAAGATGACGTGATGATGGTTTTGATGATGTCACTGACTATGAGCACGTTATAAGCAGACGACGGTGGCGAAGTATAAAGAAATGATGATGATGATGATGGTGAGGATGAAAACCATAATAATGATGAAGATTGTTTTGGGTTTTGATTGTGTTGTCATGGTGATAACGATACAGAGGTTGGTGATAATGATGGTGATGGTGAAGGCTCCAACCAACCGTTCTCCATCTCTATCTTACGATTGGTTAATTGATTAATCGTTAGGGCAATTAAAGGAAGAGGTGTCGTCAAATCGATTCTTTACACTCGGCCACGTCCACACTGCAACGATTTAGTTTTAAAACGCGTCTCTTCTCCTTGCGTTTCCTCCTGCCGTCCACACTGCCGCAGTTTTCCAGCCCTGAAAACTGAGAGTTTCAGAAACGCTGCTGAACCCGTTTTATTTTGAAAACTCAGAGGTTGTGTTGTCCTCTGGAAAACGGAGCCCTGTAGACGATCTGCTTCCTGTTTACACCGGCCTCGCGCGTGCTCAGTGTACGTGAATGATCATGTGACGTGCGTTTTCAGGTGTGTTAGATTGAAAACATCATTTTAGAAAAGAAAAAGGTAGTTGTGTGGACGGAGCCAAAGACAACAGAGAGTGAACTCCTGATGCTGGTTTCTGAGACTTCTCTGCCATGTTTGTGGCTGTGTCTGATTGTGTCTGTTAGTGAGTTAAACACGAGTCTTCAAAAGATCCTCGAAGATGGAGAGAGATGCCCCCTGCTCCGGTCACATTAAGTAGCTTGATCCACCATCGGAGAATCACAGACCAGAACAGTCTGGACTGAGACTTGTCGACAGCCCTTGGAGGAACGCAGTTTCCGAGAAGGAGCATAATCCTGAATGGTTCAGACCCAGAAGTCCCTCTGGGTAGCCATCGGAGATCAATGAGCGTTTGGTCTGTAAAGCAAAGAAATATGATGATAAATAATGTAACAATGATCGACAGAGACGGAGAAATCAAAAGGAAAGTCTGATATCAGTGATGCAGATCATAAACTGTGCTGCGGCTCAGTGATTAGATGAAGAAGCTGAATCCTGCTGAGTGGTTCATACAGCCAGGAATCAAACTGTGTTCATCCAGGTAAAGCTGTGAGCTGCTGCATTGTGAATGAATCCAAGACAGAAGAAACCTGGGCTCATATCCTGAGTGTGATTAAAACCAAGACTCAAAGCTGTGATAGTAACGTGCAAATCCTCATCAAGAAAGCTGCCAATTGGCTAAACAATGAATCGACTCTAATTGCTGCTGTTGAAAAGAGACAGAAAAACAAGACGAGGATGATGTTGGTGGTGAAGTTTCCAAAACCTGAGATTGAGCAGATGTGTGTTTCCGTTTGACGTGATGCAGTTGAGGTGATACGAGGTTTGCTCAGTCAGATTCCTGCAGAGACAGACAGAAGTGAAGCAGCTGGGTGACTTGATGAATGATTCTTGAATGCAGCACTACAGCTGCAGACTGAATCTCTTAATAAAATCTATTTGCATGTCTCTAATCTTGTTTCCTGGATTCAATCAGCAGCAGCCTGTAATAGGCTTAGCCTGCTTTATCTCGCTCAGTCTGTCTGCGGTGGATAATGTTGTCAGTGTCTGGCAGCAGCTTGCTGCAGAGGGGGACTTAAATGTTTTCATCCCGGGAGCCAAAGTGCACCGAGATGCATTGTAAGCACCGAGGTGCATTGTAATCATGTTTCCCGGCTTCAGAGAGCAGGGGAGTTGACTAACAGCGTGTTTTTGACCTCAGGGGGTTTCAGTGGGCGTGAGGGATGCACCTGCTCATTTACACAGCGACAAACAATCACAGCAGAAGAAGATTCAGCCGCATCCCACAAGGGATTCAAACTGCAGACCCAGACACGAGGGGATACATGCACTTATTGGACTTCTCCTGTGTTTTATTTGAAGTGTTGATCCATAAGAAGATATATTTGTGGTTTTAAGAACCAAAAACCATCTCAGTGTAGTTTTACATCTCCTCTCTCAGGCTTCTCTCTGGAGCTCTAGTAACAACTGGTCAGTGAGCCAATCAGAAGAGAGGAGGCTCTGAGCTTCTCTTCTGATTGGCTGACTGTTTTCTGAGTGATCCAATAAAAATACAGCAGATTTCAGGTAAAAACACTCAGAGAAACCAAATCCTGCAAAGGTTTGGATGGTGGGTCCAGGTGGGCGGGGCTTGGGAGGGCGATTGTGACATCACAAAGTTACAGGAAGTCCTGACGGCTGGTTTTAAGGCTCAGTTTCTGAATACAGGCTGTGTGCATTTCTCTGTGGACTGAGGCTTTGATACTTTCACAGTATTAATATAGAAGCTAGAGCTGATCTATAATCACACTACACATGGACACAGACCTTTAGACTATATGAGACCTTTAAGACAACGCCACTGGTCAAACCATGGTATTTATATAAATCAATAATATGAAACGGAAAAAAAAGCTTTCAACAACAAGTGTTGGGTCAAGTTGTAGGAAGTACGGTCACGATCTCTCCTTTTGTTCCTGAGTTACAGCGTTGAGTAATGGCCAGAAGTGTTTTAGCAGAACATTAATATGTCACAGTGACGTTGACCTTTGACCTCTTGGATATAAAATGTCATTAGTACTCGTAGTATGAGGATAGAGTGTTTTGTTGTTGTTAGGTTGAGTGGTCATAGAGGGAGATGATGATTGTTTCAAATGACACACACACACACACACACAACACACACGCACACACACACACGCACACACACACACACACACAACACACATACATCAGTGTTGATGCTTTCAGAAACTGCTCCTCAGAAACGTGACGTCACGGAGGCTACGTCCATTTTTACATACAGTCTGTGGCGTTTCACCAAACCTCAACACAGTAATTCAAATATGGCGAAACAAGTGAGCAATACAGAACGTACAACGGTTTATTCATTTATTAATCCTTTTCGCTAAATTAAAATCAATAAATTTTCTGCCTTATTGCCTTTAATTAGTGAGTCATATCAGCAGTAATTAAATGTCGAAGGTGATCCGCACTCCGCTCCCTCCTGCTCTGACGATGCCGCCACTATCGCTGTCGCCACGTAAACATCATCTGCTGAATGCAACAAGTTGATGCCGAATGACGGCGCGGACGTGAAGTCACAACATTTGATCACAGAGGAATTCCTGGAAGACGAGGGAGTGATGGTACGTGACAGAATTAGAGGATCGCAGTTTCCCTCCTCTTCTCTCTCTCCTCAGTAAATTGCTGGCTATAGAGCTTCCATGTGATAAAGCCCTTTGTGTTGCCGAGCGTCCTTGAGCAAGACGTTAAATCCCTCCTTGACAGATCCAGCAGTGCAGCTCCGCAGCTCTTTTCTTTTCCCTCCCTGTGGAGCAGAAAAACAATAGAAATCAATACAATATCACTGTGTTTATGGGAAACGTCTGAACTGAGAGAGTTTGAAACCTGAAAGAAAAAATGCTTGTGAAGAAACGGAGCAGGAGATGAACGGCCAGCGCTCAGGTTTGATTTGAAAAAGTGTCAGATCCATTTGTTAATCAGAAGGAATAATCAGCGTGGAAGGTTTTTCGTTTGCTCTAAAAGCTTTTGGTTAACATCTCCTGTGTAAATCCTGGGGCCAGGTGAGCTCCAATCAGACGACAGGAGCAGAGAGCAGGTACTCTGTGGAAGAATTGATCACTTTGCACAAAATCCATGCTGATAAAGCTACAAGACGCAGCAGCTCGGGCTCTGCAGCCTCAGCAGCCACGGCGAGGCTTCAACACTCTCAGGGTTTGAGGTTTTGTCTCCCAGTGAGCTGCATCAGCCAGAAATACACAGAGCTGTCAAAGCAACCATGTTGACCTGCCGCTGCGTTCGCTCAGCAACACCAGTCAGCGACTTCTGCAAGAAACACGTCCAGATTCATTCAACTCATCACAAAAACATCTCTGTAACTTCATCCTGTGACCTCTACCCGACACTGTGGTGTAGTCTTATCTGTCGGGGGATCAAATTAGAGCTGATTCTGAAGGTGTAATTATGAAAATGAAATAAATTCATCTTTAAGGCTCGATCGACCATCAGCAAAGTGAAATTAAGTGATATTTTTTAATAAAGATGCTGAAACCGATGCATCTCGGCTCTGAAAGGGCTGATATGAATTGCTAATCAACTTTGCACGTGTGCAACACGGCATGAATAAAGACTAACCTTGTGTGACTTTTAAAAAGGAAGATGACTGACGTGCGTGGGATCTCCGGGGGACCGAGGCTTCCCGGCGCCTCGCGGGTGCAGAGAGAGCACGGATGGTTTTGAATCCGGTTGCTAACCTTTACCGACTGTCAGTCTTTCCTCAGAGAAACGCAAGCACTCTCCAGGTCTCTGCAGGTTCTTTTAAAGAGGCCCTATCATGGCAGTTTTCAGTGTTAATCATTTCATTCTTGGTGTCTACTAAAATAGATTTACATGCTTTAATGTTCTGAAAAGACTTTATTTTTCTTCTTCTGTACATCTTTTACTGTCCTCTACTCACCCTCTGTCTGAAACGCTCTAGAGAAGCAGTCCTCCTTGATGTGCGGGCTCACATTATAATGTTTGGCGCAGCGGAGAACCGTGGAAAAATAAAGCAGATTTCTACAGGCAGTTGAGAACATGGTGTCTTTTCGGCTTTTTGGCTACAAAACTAAAGAAAACTGGGGGGGCGTGCCAAGCTTGCAGGGGGGGCGTCCAGGTTGCAGGTGGGCGGCACCAACAGAGGCATTGACGTCAATAGGACCAGGAAGTAATGGCTGGACTCCCAACGAGGCGTTTCATACAAAGGAGAATATTGAGTTTTTACCCTGACAGTTACTCCCTTTGGTGTAAACTGTGATCCTTGTGACTCTGGAGAACATTTGCATCCACAAAAACCTACATAACACAGAAAGGTAAAACTCAGAAAAGCATAATAGGTCCCCCTTTAAATCTGACTTAAAGCTTCGTTAATAAAGAGCCGGGTCATCATGATGCTGCTCAGTGATGTGTTTTATTAAAGTGTGAAATCAGGAGTTTTACCTCTAGAGGTTTGCAGATGCTGACTCATATTACTGAACATTATGAAGTGTCTTTTTGAACACACCCAGGGTCAAAGTCCCAACAGCCTGATGAAGTCAGTTTGATACATACTGATGATCCAGTCTGCAGAGGTGCCAATAATGAAGTTGATACTTGCTAATTTGTGTTTCATCTGCATTTATTAATCAATTTTTTAATAGTTTAATCTACAAAATTAAAAACAAGACGAGGTCAAAACCTATTTTATGTCTGGAGAGCGACATATTAGCATGTGAGTGTTTCAGCTCTTTATCCGTTTGCTTCTCTCCTCCTCTCTGTATTTTAATATGGCTGAATTCACAATAGAGATGTTCTCATTTACATGTTTTTCTGTTTCTGTTGTTGTCTGCTGCTAAAATCCTGATTTCATAACCACAGTGTGAGACTGTCTTTTCTGGGGAGTAGCTAAAGTTTATCCAAAATGTTGATGTGAAATGTTGAAAATGTTGAAAATGCTCAGTGCTTTTTTGGTCTCTAAATCTAGCAACACATGCTAAGTTGCTAGCACTACAAGCTTTAAACTCCCCCTAATAGTAACTGTGTGTGGCAATTCATTTTGAAAGAGTAACGGCCAGTAGGGAAGATCCAACAGTCAGCCGGTTGACCAATCGTGTAACTTGATCATTCACTCAGTCAGTCAGTCATTTGACATTCATGTTTACATCCAGCCACAAAAAGAGTGGAGTTTGATCACCACGATGTCCCATTGGATATATGTTCAGTTTACAGTAATATGAAATACAGAAAAGTGGCAGGTCTGGTGCACAGACTCAAACCAGAAGAGTGGAGGCTAACTTGCTTTTGAATGTTTACAAAGTCATGTGTTGGTGTCCATGTAGTGGACCTGAAGTTGTGGTGTAGATGTAGGTTATATTGGACCTGGAGACCCGCAGCATGGATCTATGTGCTAATACATATGACACTGTGTTCATATTCAGATTTGGTTGGCTGTGTAAAGAGCATGGAGCATTTACACCGTGTAAATTTACTCTATTTGTAAACCTAAGGCAAACCTCCAAACCCCCACTTGTCTTGAAAGTGAGCAAATAACCTCGTTCAGCGCTGAATAAATTATGTGTTAATAATTTTTGCCTCAAGTCTACATTTCTGAACGTCTCTGTAATCTGCCCACAGGAGGAGGAGGAGCGAGGAAAGCGCCAGGTCCTGGTCCTCGGTCTGGACGGCGCCGGGAAGAGCAGCATGTTGCAGGGTCTGACCCCCGGGGAGCCGGCGGCCAAAAGGGGCCGCTGCCGACCCACCCGCGGCTTCAACTTCATGAGCCTGAACGCCCCCGCCTGTCAGCTGGACTTCCTGGAGAGTAAGACTCCCTTTTATCCCTCCGTATCAAACACTGCAGGCACTGTGTGGAGTCTTGGGTTTTATCAGACAGCATGAAGTGGGGAAATGGAAAGAGCTTTTTACCTCTCTGTTCAGTACAGTCGGCCATTTGTTTCATTAAACACGCATGGTAGCAGACAACGCCACGGACATGTCTGAGAGAGTCGGAGCCATTCATGGTATATTGTAAAATATGTAATCACATGGCCCAAAGAGGACACATCACTTCTCTATTCTACATTAGTACTTGTTCTGTTCATTCATATTTCTTACATAAGTATGACTTTATTTTTTCAATAGATTTCATGTCATATGACCCAGTGGCTACATGGCCCAGTGAGGGTACAGTCCTTTATATGTGTGATGGTACAAAATAAATGGTATTAGTCTCTGAAGTCACCCTCAGTGGTTTTGCAGGAGGCTGGGAGGTGAGCTAACCGACGTCCTAAACTTATATAAAGATGGACGTAGCCTCCGTGACGTCACCCACAGGTTTCAGATTGAGCTGCTCCACCGTCGCCGCCTTGGCAGTGCCTGACTCCACCTCTAACTCCCAGCTAATCCAAATATGGGCAAAGAGGTGGGTCGCGGTTGGAACCAAGACTTCGGTGCAGGTTGGTTTAATAACCTGTTAGCATCGTTAGCACAGCTGGGCGTCTTGCTCGAAGGCAAACCCAAGGCTAATTCATTTACTGGCTAATTAGCTCCACCACAAACACGTATGAGAGCTAGCAACTAGCCAACTCAATTATGCAGAACTTTAAGCCTTAATAAAAATTAAAACACTAGAGTTTTATAAAAATTCACCCCCCGTACAGTTGTCATGAAGGAAGAAAGTAGTTATAGTGGCCAAAACTGTTTTTATACCAGGCTGTAAACATGTTTATCTCTGCTGTAAAGTTGGATATTTTATGGGAGTCTATGGGGATGGACTCATTTTGGAGCCAGATCATTATTAGGTCATTAGAAGAACTGCAGTTTTCTTTGCTGTATTTTTTTCTGGAGCATGATGCATTAGAAATATGTTGTGTATTTCTTTGATAGGTACATTTTGTATTTGAAAAACAAAATTCATTAGTATGTCAATGGTATTTCGTGTATTAAAACCACACTGTGTTAGTGAATTGTGGGGCATTTGCAATAAATGCTCTGTTTGTTTGTGAAGTTTTGGCTTGAAATGACCTCCATAGAGCCGCCCCACAGGCAACATATGTACCCTGGTAAATCTGTGGAAAGCATAGGGTAGTAGCGATGCCTGAAGGACAGACTTGGGGAACAAATGACTCGGTTGTTCAACTCACACAATCACAGATGTGAAGCAAATGAGCGAAAACCGCCTAATGACGATTACACGAACGACATTTAGCAGATGGAAGAAGAAGCATGTCCAGAGGGAGATAGCATAGAAATCGAGATAGATAACAACGTTTTACAGCACCACAGGAGTGTGTTGATCAGCACTCGAGGAACTATTTAGATCTTGAAAATCAATGTATTTAAAGTACAACTGAGGCTGGCAGGAATTTGACCGGTAGCTTTCGGTCATGAACTGTTTGGGGTTTTAGATGGTCTAGTTGGTTGGGAACCATGAAAATTTATCAAATAGCCGTCGACCATATTTCTATCTGGACCAAAATATTGGGCTGTAATTGATTAAAAATCTGTAAAGAACATAAAGGACGAGTGTGTTTGGTTGTTGTTCAGAAGTTGATCACAGTTTCAGTTATTTTTTTCCCCCATTTCTTCCCTGAAAGCTGCTGCATCCATCACTGCCAGCACTTTTTATATCGTTCTTATTTGTTCATTGATTGAGGGAAACTTCAACAGCAGTTTTTTGGGATCATGGAAGTGAACACTTAAACTTTAACTGCAACTGTGACCTCGAACGAACAAATCAAACCAGAATGGCAGATAGGTCCAGGTAGGCTGTGTTACATCTACAAACACATAAATCCTCCTGATTATCATTCCTCTGAAAGCCACAGCGCTGCACTAAAAATAACACACATGACTTTGCGCTTCATTCACTCTGAGTCTTGAGTGTGAGATGCGGAACTGCCGCCGGCCTTCAGAGCGAGTTTCTGCGGCGGACGCATTCGGGGGAATGTGTCACGTTCGGCGGCTGATTCATTCACGATCTGAACACGGAGATCGCTGGAGTCTTTGTCTCCGTGACACTGACGCACAGGCGTGTTGACAGCTCAGTGCATCAGAGGCCGTATAGTGCATGAGGACTGACGAGTTTCTCTTTAGGAAGTCTGCGGGGAAAATGCAGCTTAAAAGCCTTCAAACTCCACATGAAAAGATACAGATCAGATCCGTTAGAGAAGCGTTTTTAGGCTCTTGGGTTTGTGCTAAAGGGAAGTGCAACTCAGAATCAGGAGGAAGTTTCTAACATGTACAAACTGTGCGTGTGGATCGCGGCTTTCCTCTTTGGTAAACACGCTTGTGTCAATACAGTATGTGCTAGTTTTCCTCTCGGTTTGAGGAAGTCCATCAGCTCTGGTGTTGAGAGCATTAAAGACAGCCCCTGTATATCCTCATATACTAAATGTTTATTGTGTTCAGTTTTTCTTCAGGAGCAGATCAGTTTCAACCTACTTTCACTCAGGTTTTTATCTTCCTGTGAATGAAAAAGTTGTGTAAAGAGTAAAGAAAGCCTGGAGACAAATGCAAATGAGCTGCTGATTATACAGAAGTCTCCATGTATAAAAACATGAAATTATGAAACCCCCGTGATTAGAGAGTGTTGGGTGCAAACAGTATTTCTTAAAACATGATTTTCATGTTTTACCTCCTTTTTTCTTTGTAATATTCAAACTAAACACCAATAAGTTAATTTTTTTCTCTTCTTTTTGGAAAAATAACACACCCAAAGTATCCACTGTCGCAGTTAATATTCAAGAAATTGAAGTAATTGCTCATGAAACAGTGAAAATTATGAGCATGAATCAAACTGCAGCTTTAGTACTGCGTCTCAAAATGTTTTATTATTTTAAAATGTGTGTGTTTGTTTTTGCTGCTGCAGCAACATCTCCAGCCGCGAGAAGCTGCTTGTGAGATGCATTGTGGGACAACAGTCCATCAACACCACACTTAGAAGTCTAACATATTTGGTCTAATATGTGTCTCAGTGGCGTCTGCTTCCATGCTTCCAGTGCTTTACACCTCCACCTCCAGCCTGTACGGTTCTCCGCAGGCAGGAGGGATGCTTTCATTCATGCTGCTTGCATCTGACATCCATCCATCCATCCATCCATCCATCCATCCATCCATCCATCCATCCATGCGCTGTTTCCTGCGCAGCCTCGTGCATTACCTGCTACCCCCTGATGTGGACATCCTGTACAGATGCTCTCTCGTCATTGTGGGAGTTTCCAACACTGTAGTCTGTGCAGTGGACAAATCTCTAGCAAGGGCACCGGAAAACGACCCGGAAAACACATGTAAATCATGTGAAGCTGAATTATTTAAGATTTAAATCCTGTGTTTCCTGCGGGAAACATGACCTACCGTCCTTACTGTCAGTATTCCTGTCTCAGCCCCGTTTATTTTGGCCTCCACCTCCTGCCAACTCTCCATCTGCCCTCCACATGTCCTCCAGACTTTCCTCCCTGTCCCGCTCACCTGACTGACAGACCCACCTGCTCACCTGTCTCCTATTTCCAATCACCTGAGCTTCCCTGCCCTCTTACACACCTGTTCCACATTTTACCCTGATCTGCTCCTTGGCGTTTAAGCCAGTCCTTTTGTTGTGTAGTAACCTGCTGTCTCAGGGTGTTTTCACACCTGCACTATTCAGCCTGGTTAAACTCAACCCTGGTTCATTTTCCCCCCTTGGTACGATTCGTTCGGGCAGGTGTGAAAACAGTAATCTCCCTCAGGTGCAGACCAGAAAGAGAGGGAGCGGTTCGAGCGGACCCCCGCGACCAGGTGAACTCACAAGTCTGAGCTCGACGGTTCCCACAACCTTCTTCCTGCGTTTACTTTCCTGCTCCAGACAATCTGACCAATCACAGGAGAGAACGTTCTCACCCCCCCGGTTTTTGATGATGCATTTTGGTTCACTTGAATTTTTCTCTGTGTGAAAGCAAACTGAACCTAGAAATTTACGTCACGCAGACCCTGACGGACCCTCGAGAACTCCAGAGCGTGAAGTGTAACACTGGTCTCAGTCTGTGGAAATACTGGATTTTAAACGTTTCAATGTGAGATCACAAAAATACCTTTGAAGATAGAAACTGCCTCTGGATAACAGCTTTAAAAAAAAAATAAGGTTTGAGGTGAGAAGTCAAGTGGCAGCGTCATGCAGGGAGTGCCGAGGGGCAAAAGCAAACAAATCAATAAAGAAACAGACTTCGACACAACACTGGATCCATGTCTTGGGGTCAAAGTGGAATTTAGTTGGACTTTGGCTGCAAAACCGGTTTAAACCAGCAGCTGCGGCTTGTGTCGCTGCTCAGAGTGCAGCCACAATCTCCCGCAGGGAAAAAGAAAGTGAGACCTCCATCATCGTCACTGAGCAAAATATCACCCCTGTGTGACTCAGTGTCTGCTGTGTGTGCAAATGTGGGTGTGCGTCTAATGAGGCGGCCCGTGGAGCAGCAGGACGAGGGGCCCCGCTGAGAAACACAAGCTGCTCCTGCCGCCGAGCGTCAGGTCCGCCGCTCCGCACCTCATCACGTAAACAGTTATTTACTGCTGCCACATCACATCAGCCGAAGGTATATCACTGCCCAGTTTCCTAGCAACATTCTCCATTAAGTCCGGCACTAATGAATTCTCGCTGCGCTTCGGAGGCGGAGGCGGCGGCGGCGGCGGCGAGGACCTGAAGTCATACCCGCTGGCATGCGAGCAGCGCTTCGTATGGCTGCCGGTCAGTTCTTGTGCACAGCAGGAATCATGGGATGTGAAACCCTTTATATACTGTGAAACTTTCCCTCCACTGAAGCTGGGGACTGAATATATTAACAACTCTGTCCCCGTGACCATGTGATGCCTTTTTCTATCACAGTAAATCAGCCAGTTAAGTGACTCAGTCAACCACCGGTCCACAGAGCTGGACAGATAATGATCTGTGTGAACACCGTCCTCCAACACCCGCTCGCTCTGAGCTCTGACTCCTCTGTGTTTTTAAACATGGAGGCTGCAGTACTGTACATTTATATGAGACCAAACAAATCAATGAATCATGTGCACACAGACAGTTATCTTTCCAAAAGGCCAAAATAAAACATGTCCTCGATTTTAATCCAGAAATGTAAGAATAAAGCCTCCGAGCACAAGAGAAGAAAAACAAATGGAGGAAAGAAAGAGGAGAAGACGCTCTAAGAAAAGAAGGAAAACAGAAAATAAATCAAAAACGCCCCGATGCTGAAGAATAACAAGAGCCTCTGAGTAACGGACGGAAACGAAAGAGCAAAAATAGAGTTCAAAGACGGCGAGGAAACTGAACAAATTGTATTAAAAGAAAAAGAAAAGAAAAAGCAGCTTCTCGGTTGTATTTTGCTCAGAGCTTCTCTGACGTCTCACCTCTGGAGGCAACTAGATGGGATAAAAAATGAATCCGAACAATTTCCCCAGCAAGGGAACGTGGAGATAAATAACGGCCGCGTCGTCTCAGCCTATTTCATCCCTCAGTGAAAACTAGATTAGTCCGTTGCACATCTGAAATTAATCTGTGACCAATTTGTTTAAAGCAGGAATGCCAACAGTTTATCTATAATTCAGTTTATCGTTCTGATTTATGTTAAAGCCTTCTCTTCTTCTTTTCACTGCAACACAAAGGAAAGTGGCAGAAAAACATCTGCTAACCGCCTTGAGCGAGGCGATCAGTCAGGGCCGTGTGGCTGTTTTTCTGTAGCTGACCTTGCAGCCGCAGTTTCTCAGTGTCGATCAATAAAAGAACATTTCTTTGGATTCCCGTTTGACTCTGAGCGCCCTGTTGGTTCTGCTGCTCTACACTTAAATAATAAATCTTACACTTTGGGTAGACAGACCCCTCGGGATGTTATAGTTAAATAACAGGCCACTCCCTTCTCATTACAGCCTCATTTAATTATGGAAACCCCCAATGTAAAACAACTGCTGTGTCACAACAGGCTGACGAGACTTTTCTTACGATCTTTAAAGATTTAGATTTTTCTCCAAACAATGGAAAACCAGATTTTAGTGCTGAACACAAATTAAAGCTCCATATTTTCCTCTTCTCCAGTGTTTTATTTTGAAATGTTGATCCATAAAAAGATATATTTGTGGTTTTAAGAACCAAAAAACCCTCTCAGTGTAGTTTGACATCTCATTTCCAGGCTTCTCTCTGGAGCTGTAGTAACAACAGGTCGGTGAGAGGAGGCTCTGGGCCTCTCTTTTGATTGGCTGACTGTCTTTTAAATGATTCAGATTTCAGGTAAAAACACTCAGAGAAACCAAATCCTGCAAGGTTTGGATGGTGGGTCCAGGTGGGCGGGGCTTGGTTACTGCTTTGTTGTGACATCACAAAGTTACAGGAAGTCCTGACGGCTGGTTTTAAGGCTCAGTTTCTAAATACAGGCTGTGCAATAGTACAAAACAGAATAAAATCAACTCCCACACGCTGTCAACACTTTGAATTTTAAAATGTTAAATTAAGTTTCACCCTGAAATACCTGATGAAAGTTGCCTGACCAATTAAATTCATAAATTCAGTGTAAGTGTTGAGAGTATGTGGGTTGTTTTTTATTTTTGTGCGCTGAGATTCTGTCATAATCTTGGGAACACATACAGTATCTGTGATTAAAAAAAAAAAAAAAGAAAAGCTTTCGACCATATCCCATGATCTTCTTCAGAGGATGGAATGTAAACTTACATATGTAATTTTGAATTGGTCACATGATCAGAAACGACCGTTTATTATTACCGGAATGAAATTCAATATTTTGAATCGGTTCGTCAAGAAGAAGGACTGAGAGAAAGTTTTGTAAAAAGGCAAGCAAGTAAACCTTGAGTTCAAAATATTTCACCACAGATACAATCCAGATTAATTTCAGAAGCCGAAAGGCATATGGAGATTAATTTAAGTTGTACAAACAGAAATCACACACACATGCAAATTAAGATGATTTGAAATGTGTAAATTAAAGCCAAAAAAACCCCAAAAAACTCCAGAATAGCTTGTTAGAGGAGGGAAAGGTGTGAGAATATGTATATGTAATATGAATGTTTGTGTTTTGTGTGCTGCAGTTGGCGGCGGCGAGGACCTGCGGCGCTACTGGTCCGACTACATGAGGAGGACTCACGTTCTGGTGTATGTGGTAGACTCCGCTGACAGGAGCCGCCTCCCAATGGCGAAGGATGAACTGCACCGCCTCCTGAGGGTGGGGCCGCAGATGCCCGTGGTCATCCTAGGAAACAAGCAGGTAAACATCCTGTTTATCTCTTCTTAAAGGACCGTACCCATGTTTGTTTTTAGCATGTCTTAGCCCAGGTTTCATAATTATTTGAGATCACAGTGACCTTTTATTGTGGATGAATTTTTCCCTCCATTCTCAGCAGTCGTTGGTCTCTTTTAATTTCCCTGTTGTACAAATTCAAACTAATTTGCAGCCCTGAAAATGATATAATCCATCACAGTGAACTATCGCTGTGCAGTATTGTCGTTTAATTAAAGCCAATTTTAACTAACACACAATGATAATTAAATTACTCTTTATACTTTGCAGAAATGAATGGAAATCAATGGCTGCCTTCAACATTTAGACAAATACATCAAAAATGTAGAACTTTAGAGCATGTGTTTAAAACTACAAGGCAGAAATGTTCCTGTGCATGAACTGGAGCTCAATATAAGTGAAAATAGAAAAGGGAACAGCAACAGGAAGCTCATGTAAAAGCCATCACACTGGTATTCTGGTAAAATCCCTCGAGTTAACACTAAAAAAAATTTTTTAATTAGGCTAAAAATAAAAGTAAATGTGGACAAAATGACTTATTGGAGTGAGCGGATACGACGTCATTCCTTCTTCATTTATCCAGTGATGATGATCCATCGCTCTCCTGAAATAAACATTTCCACATTACCTCCTCGGCTCGTATTTCTTCACTCGGCCCGGCACTTGTGAAATTATACATGACCCTTCGAGGGAAGAGGGAATATTTGTCACGCGTGCTGTCAGAGCGGCGCAGCTTTCATCCTCTCGCTCTGAGATAAAAAAAAACTCAATGCGTTCGTAATAAAAATCGTTTCAGTTCAAGATGAATATCGAAATGTTCTGTACAGAGCAGGTGCAGTGTGAAGGTAATTCTGAAGTATATCATGGTTAAACCATCCAAATCAAGAGGTGCTTTAAACCACTACAGGTGTGAAATTAACACACTCTCCCTTCACTGCTTTCATCTTGAAGATTAATAAGGAAACTTGGAACATCAAACAGGACATCTCCCACCGAGATGAAAGAGGGACTGGTGCATTTTTAAACTTATTGCCTATTGGTATGAATATTTGTAATCCAGATTGTCTCTCAGGTTAAACTGCTGAGCTTTGACATGAGAACATCAAAATGCTCAACACAAATGCAATATTAGGTCTTGGAGGTTTTCAAAAGACACATGAAGAATGAAAACATAACTTCCTCCTTGGTGAATGTGATATCAGGCGAGTAGTTGTACCGTGCGACAATAATGAAATGAAAGAAGACAAGCCGTGATGGATGACCAGTGTCAACCCTCGGGGGTTTAAGGGCATTTTCTTGATGTCTTCATTATTTCTTAACTTGCATATAATATAATACTCAAGTGTTTTATGTCACACTTTTTAGAACAATCTCAGCAGCTGTGCAAAGAGATAATTTGGCCCAAATGCTGAAAAATTGAAGCCTGTTTTTTTTGTTTTTTTTTTGCACTTCTTCAAATATCTTGTGAAAACATAACTTTACTTAGTTTATGGAAAACACCTTCGTTCAGCTGTAAAAAAAAAAAAAAAAAACCTTTGTTGTCCTGTGCAAATGATGCAGGTAAAATAAAAGAAGCAACGTCTTCAGTGGGAGGAGCTCTTTTTTGACAGCGATACTCTCTCTCACCCACCACTACTTTGTTCTCTGCCTCGGCACTCGCTCTGTTTAAACAGCACAAAGGATGTTTCCAAGCAGAACCTGTGTGTTGGAAAAGATGTGGTGCGAAGAAACGAGGCGGACATCTATAGACTCAAGCCTGGGTTGAATGGTTTGTGTAGGAGGGCGGCATTAACTTCACTGTCTTCGCATATGAGTTTTTATCAGAACCGAGACATCCACCGTTAGAAAATGTGACATGTAGTTATTTGCAATGACACGTCGTGAAGTATTACGCAAGTTAATGATAATTACATTCTTACTTACAAAGCCAAGTCCGCTTCATCGGGTTGAATACATTTGTTGGTATTGTCAGATATCAAGTAACATAAGGTCTTTCCTTGATGGCCAAAGCCACCGAGACAATTACGCCCTTTACAAACATGTCCTGTGGCAGAAACCATGCAATTTCTGTGGTACGAGGCCCTCGTGTTCCTGTGGTTCTGTACCACATGCTCCTCTGGTAAATTATTGTGGTACTCAGTGGCTGGTGTGATATTTTGGGACGTTTACCACAGGATTGTATCTCAGGCGTTTGGGTACTGTACTATACATTCTGTGGTACTATACCGCGTGCCTATGTAGTAAATTCCCGTAGTACACAGAAACTTGTGTGGTATTTATATTAGAAAGTGCAGTTTGGGGTAAATCTTATCTTAATTATCTTAATCTTAATTATAGTGTCACAATTTCTGTGATATATTATTATAAGAAAATTTTTTACCGGCACTTTATTTTTTACCAAAATATGGCTGCATGTTGCGTCTGTTTGTTGCTAGTACAGCTAACTGCTAGCATTTGTTAGCTAGTTGATGTAGAAAACCAACCTAGCAACAAACAAAAGCTGTGTTAACCATATTTTGGCCACAACACTCAAATTTGCAATAGTAAAGCTAAACTTAACTATTGCAAAAACTAAAGCTTCACATTTGTCACACACAACCACGTTAGCTTATGTTAGCCTTGAACGGCAAACGCAAACAGTGCTAAGGACAGCGGCGTATTTAGCTGATATTTGAATTATTGCTAGCTTGGTTAGCTGTTAGCTGTTAGCAACAAAATCATCTCCACCAAACTGTCCACCAAAAACACGATGAACATAGCCTTTGTTTGTTAGCATGGTCAGCTGTTGATGCTACCAAACTAACTAAGCTAACGTAGTTGTGACACCGTACGAGCTACAAACTTGGATCTTTTACCATTTTTTGCCAAAAATATGAATATTGAAAACAATCTGATGATAATGCTCAAGAGTTTAAGTTTCAGTGGTAATTTGTGCACTTTTACAGACATTATATGTATGTATTTTTGCACAAAAAAATAAATGTTGAATAGATGCTTTGATAGAAATTCATCCGAACATAGTTTATTTAAAAAATTTCTTGTCAAACTGGGTTTTAACTGGTTTCACGCTCTTCACAGGATAAACCCAATGCTGTCAGTGTGTCGGAGCTACATGACGCCTTGTCTCTGGGCTCTGTGACCGAGGACAGGAAGATGTTCCTCTTGGCCGCCCAGCTGGGTTCGGATGGAGCCCTGAGGAACTCCCACCAGGGCCTGGACAACATCCAGGACCTCCTGCTCCAGCTCGTCTGATTTCAGCCCCCCCCCACCCCCCCACAGGGAAGAGGAGGAGGAGATGGAGGCACGGAAACAAAGGGATGGCTTAAGGACATCCTCCTCTTCCTCCTCCTCCTCTTCCTTATATAAGCTCTGGCTTATTTGAGGCAGAGGAGGAGGAGGAGGTGATAAAGGCCTTCGAGACAGAGGCAGAGGGTTTTTTTCTTACTGAAGAAGATGAGATTGAGAAGATGGCAAGATGCCTTCCAGTACCTCCTCCTTTTCCTCCTTGTTCTTTTCAAACTACGTCATCTCTTCCTCCTCCTTCAGTACACTTTTCCTCCAACTCGTCTCGTCACCCTCGCCGGAGAAGAGGAGGTGCCGAGTGAGGAGGACGAGGGTTTATTCACACACCTGTGACTCAGAACCACAGAGTTCGCCTCCTGCCGACGACTCAGACTTCGAACTAGTCTTAATGTCAACCTGTTACAGGTTTATTTAAGCATGTAGATTACACTGTATAGAAGATGCTAACTGAAATATTGTAGACGCATACACAGATTTTCTTTGGTTTGCTGTTTTCCGAGAGTCAGCAGAGCAGAACAGGCAACACTCAGCGTTGCCAGGTTGGAGGCCCCCGGGGACCGACACTGCACCAGCTCCGTGAATTTCAGCGATTCGGTTTAATAGATACTCGCCGACCTCTGCACGGAGGCTTTTCTGAGATCTAGGGGAATTTTGTGAGGGGGATTTAAAGGGACTCCCCCTGACATTTTAAAAAGCAGAGTTATTTCTCCTCTCACAACTCTTGTCAGGTTTCTACACTTCTGTGACTTTCTTCACGACAGCTTGAGAGCATTTTAAGTTTCAGTGTCTGAAACCACAACCTCTCTGTGTGTATAGTTTCTGGATCAAGTCAGTCCAGACTGTTTTCATCGTGACATTTAACATGTAGTCCGAACAACAAGGAAACCGTCCCTGAATCACTTGCTAAAGCTCCTAAGGCCATGTATCACACGGCACGAATGAAGCCGAAGATGTACACAACAAACCCTTGATGTGCATCCACTGGGTAGCAGATGTGTAGTCCCTAAAGGATGAGGTCGGTGTTATTCTGTTTTTCTTCTCATCAGCAAATCCCACAAAAAGACCAAAACCAAAAAAACAACTGACAAATATATCATTTTATTTTATTTTTTAAGTTTTTACTTGTGCATTTTTGGGGACTATTTTCAGCAGTGGATTAATACACATTAAATGCTCTAGTGAGTATTTGGGGCAGCAGGATGTGCGTGTGTGTGTGGGACTGATTCAAAATAAACTACAGTGTGTGTGTGTGTGTGTGTGTGTGTTTATAATAATGAAGCAACATGTCACCCAGTGTGACAGTGTGACTCACTGATTGTTTTTTGGACGACAATGGAGCTACACAGATAATACTCGTTCGTAGGATCAATTAATTGTTGGTTTTGGTCTTTTTCGTGGGACATGTTGACAATGAGAAAAATACAGACTATCATCAGCTTCATCCTTTAATGTTTTTACTCATTATTCAGTCAGAAAAAAAGCATTAAGCGAAGATGAGATCAGCCAAATTCATCACTCCATCTCTGTTTGCTTAAGGATTTGCGCACAATTTGGATTTCACATCCTTTTTAAGCCCACACGCTCCCAGTCCTGTTTGCTCCACAGCTGTGCAGAATGTACCAGTATCCAGAAAAACACACATCCTTGAATGTCTCAGTGCAGATGTGACTACTGAGTGTTTGACTCTGAAGCTACTTGTAAAGATAAACTGCAATTGGCTAGACTCTTGATTATTTTATCGCCGTCTGTGTGCAGCCATGTTTGCTTTTGACGCACAATCTTGTAATGAATGTGAAGTTTTATTCCTTTTGATGTGGCGTGGCTCTGCAGAAATGTTTTCACAGCAAGTAAGATTTTAGTTGACTGCTGTATGTTTTTCTTTCTTTCTTGTGTTGTGTAAAGGGAACTGCTGGATGTGAATTCAAGCATGTCTTCATGTTTTTATGTTCTCTTTTAAAACTTGAGCTGCAATTTTGGATTAAGTCTCGATGTGTTTTTTCTTCTTAAAACAACAGAAAAAAACCAAAGTAAGAGTGGAGAAAGAAAACCTGCCAATAAACACAGCTGTGTACTCAACCTATGTACACAAAATTATCTCGAGCCACTGAGAAACAACACGGGAGGGATCTATACAGTGTCCTCTAAACACAAGCTTCCTCGATCAGCGTTGTACAACAAGTTGAGTCTTCCCCTCCTGCGTCCGCCGACTGAGCACGTCAATGCAAACACAAAGATAAAATCTATAGGCCTCTGTAGCTGCCTGACCTTGTTTTGTCGGGCAAAGTACCACAACTGGTCGAACAGGAAGTTTTCACGAGGCAGCCTGACAACTCACAGCTCGTCACCTTCATTTGAAGGTGAAATTAAAGATTATCATTATAAGCACTGACATGTTCAGCTAGAGAAGACCTCATGAGCCTAACGCAACATCTGTGTTCACAAATTAAAGTGTTCAGATGCGTCAGATTCGTTTTGAGGTGCCAACATGTAATAAATCACATAGATATTTGAGTGAATAAACAACAGGAGTGTTGATTCATTACTCAGTTAATAACCCAAACAAGCCAAGTCATTTCATTTTTAGATCAATGTTTTTCAGCTTGTTTATCAGATATGTACACTGGAGGTTTCTTCAATGGACGTTCTCCACCAGAGCCGCTCATCACAACAACACAGCTTCAGTTCTGCATCCTCACATTTACTGATTTTCATCTGAGATCCAACGCTGCAGCTGCGTTTGGTTTCCTAACTGTCCCAGTTTTGTCCCCAGCTGTGGCTCCAGTGCAGGTGTCAGCGCTAAAATGTCATTTTAACCGGATCCTTTGTCAAAATAAAACATTCTGTCGAGCTGAATTGAACATCCTTAAGGGAAACACATCACTTTGACTCGAGACAGTTGGTGCTGCAGGCGCTGTGGTGTATATTAAGTCTTGTTTGAAGGTTGTTGTGTAAAAAAGAAAAATGTGTTCTCACTTATGTCTCGTATTCCCTGCTTTGTGTTTCCATACTGATAACCTGCAGCCATGGCAACAATCTCAACAGGGTCACATGAGTAAATCCGTAAAGCTGGATGTCACTTTCATACATGTTCTACTGACAAAAACAACGTTGAAGGTACAATTAAAGAACAAACTACACAGAGTAATGCTGCATTCAAGACAACAGAAAACAATATGGCCGCCTGCAGTAAAATCATCACATCAATAATCAATCATGTTAGTATCAGTTATTACAAACATCTTTGCAAAAACTTTTGATGTTGGCAACTTCATTTATATATTAAGAATGTAAATATATCACATACAATAGTAAATGGCTTGTTAAACGTAATTAAAGAGCGTTTGTAATGTTACACGATGGAGGACGCCATGATTGCAGTGACGTCAAGTTTCTGCACGACTTTCTGAGGAAACAGTTTGACGTATTCATGTGTTCAAATCATAAACTGTAAATAAAAATGGACGTAGCCTCTGTGACGTCACCCATACGCTTCTGAAGAGCGGTTTTGAGCAGCTTGCTCTGCTGTTGCCATCTTGGCTGCACCTGACTCCACCCCTCACTCTCGGCTCCAATCCAAACATGAGCAAAGAGGAGGGGCGTGTGCGGAGCCGAGACTTCGGTGAACGCCGGTGTTATACCTGGCAACCGTACGCTCCCATTAGCATCGTTAGCACAGCTGGGTGACTTGCTTGAAGGCTAATGAGCTAAGCTAAAGAGCAGAGTATGGCGAGCGCAGACACCGCTACCGCCTTCATATAGCTCTTAAGAGAAACCACAACCAGGATCATGTTGGTTTTGGTCTTTTTGAACAATGAGAAAAAACATTTAAACACAACACAAACTGATCCTCTAAAAGCTTCATGTCCTCTCTGGAGGAAGAGACAATCTGTCTTAACAGCCTCTCTTCAGAGATCCTCGAGCTGACATCATCTCTTGTTGACTTCGAAACGGCATCACGGTGATTATTTGTCATTTTCTAAAAGTAGAACGCTCAGCTGTCGACTTGTCAGGACCTGTTCACGGTCAATTTTCTCCTTCTCACGGCGTCGTCTTGTTTATCTTCACTTCTGTCTGCACTGATTACATCGACCTTCACTCACGACTCTTTCACAAAGACACTGAAGCTGCTTCTTTTGCAAGACTCCATATCTGCTGAAGAACAAACCAGCTGAGCACATTCCTCCATAAAAGATTTTATGATGACTCAATATATTTGCTCTGGATACCAAACTCTTTCACAAAGAGTTGCAACTAATTTTTTTACCTCATATTGTTCCATATAGGTATAAATTAAAAAGTAATAAAGTCTAATTTGTATCTGATGTGATTTAGACACCGTAATGTACATAATGTAGTTGGTTTAAACAAAAGGTTAAAAAAGTGAAAATACAACATTTCCATTCTGTAATAAACATGTTTAATATGGGAGTAAATGATATTTCTTGTACTCAGATTGTATTATTCTGACCCAGCTGTTCCACTGACACTAACTGGGTCAGCTGTTTAACTGGATTTTCTATGCTTATTAACATATGTAGAAACATGTTTTCATCTCAGCTGCAGTGGGAAACATGATGCTGCAGCTGCGGCGGCGGCGGTGGCGGCATCCCTCTCATTAAACACATTTCAAGGGTTTAATGAAGCTGGGAAACATTTCTGCTGATGATACATTTAAAAAAAAACAAAAACATCTTGGTCAAAACACAGAAAAAAAACACACAGTTGGCGGCGAGATCGGGACAATTTTCCTGTAAAGAAGCAGAAAAACTAAAAACAAAAGATTTTGACAGGAACAACAGAAAAGTGTCTCTTTATTATTCTATCGTCCTGCTCTGTGATTTCCGTCTGAACGTCCCGTCGCCTCGTCTCTCCAGAACGAGATCCGTCTCGTCCTGATGCAGAGAACGATATCGAGTCCAGAACAGGGTCTAAAAATCCCTCTACTGGTCCATCGGCTGCGGGACAGCTAACGAGCTGATGAAGGCGTTGTAGTGCTGCTGGTGGCAGCGCTTGTACTCGTTGATCTTCCTCTTGATCTGTTTGGGGGTGTCCTGGTAGTAGTTCTTCTCGTCTCTGGCCATCGCCTGAAACGACAGGAGGGTCGGTTAGAACCAGATGTTGGACGCTCGCTACCGGCTGAGACAGGTGCCTGCGTCCTTGTGACAAAAATTAAATGTGCAAAATCCAGAAACCATTTTCAACCAAGACTGATAATTGATTAAAAAAATGCTAGCGCCCCCGTGTGGCTGTAATTCTCATTAAATACCAGAAAACCACACGTGAGAAAAGAAGTGAGGTGTGTTACTGCTCACATTGTTTATTCTGAGTGTAACCGGTCGCCATCTTGGCTACGTAGCAGAAGGGGAGGGGCCACCAACATATTTTCAAACAACAATCGCAGTCACGTGTTGTGTCGTCATTCCCGGTGAGTGCACAGCAGCAGTGCCGGATATAAGACGACACCACCCTGTTCAAATGAATGAACTACACCAGTTTGTCCCGAGGGTGGCGCCAGGGCTACACTGTTCTACAGTGGCCTTTTGGGACATCTGAGGCCCCGCCCACAGGTATGTGGATATTTTTATGCCTCCGTGCCGACGACAGTCAGAGCCGGAGACATATTGTTTTCAGGTTGTACCTCTGTCAGTCCCGTTCTCTTAGACACGAGATCTCAGTAACATCTTGATGGAACTTCTTCAAATTTGGCACAAACGTTCATTTGGACTCAAGCATGAACTGATTAGATTTTAGTGGTCAAAGGTCAAAAGTTATCTAGGTGGGAGCACGTGTCCCATTTTCTGCTCTGAACTTCTGTAAATGAAAAAAAAACCTTAAATCTGCTGTTTGAGAATAAAAACTGACTCCACTTTGAGCGTGATGCTGTGTTGATCACAAAACGCTGCAAAGATGCATTTTGGAGGGCGGTTATATAATGGCATTTAAAAGTGCACGCACGCACGCGCACACACACACACACACACACACACTCTCTAACACACTCTCCTCACTTATTGACTGATTCGGACTTGGCGGTATTCCCAGTGATGACTCCCATTTAAACCAACTGTTGAAAATCCATTTGAA